TCCCATAGCGAAAAAAATTCACATATCACAAAAATACTATTAATAAAAAGATATTAGTCCATCAGCCTTGTAAGTTAAAATATGCATAACTATGTCCAAGTTTAATGATATTAGTTGCAAATAGGTTTTCATATATACAGTACTTACTACATGTAACTCAATCAGAAACTTGCATATGGAATAAATTAATTTTGAATGTTTGGGAGAAATAGACCAAACAGATTCAATGTACAAAATAAAGTAATTCAGTTTAACAGATTGTACAATGGGAAAAGATAGTAACCAGAATTAAACACTTGGAAAAAAGTCCTTTTACCCCTAACAGAATTAAGACCAAAAAAAAATTATTGGTAGATTTATCTATATTTACCATTATTGACTGATGAAACATCCCTGGAGTTCAGAAATTGTCTCCGGAGTTGAATTTGGCAATGGATGGCCAGTTGTGGAACATTTACAGTCATCCAGAATGGTGGCCTCAACAGGTGTATCAGAGTACATATCAATGCCGCTGTCAGCTAATGATAATGCATCTGGATCATTAGTAACAGCAATGTTATCTTCACCTTGGTCAATGCACACTCCTGAATCACTAATGTTGTCGGTACTTCCAGATAAAGAGGAATCATCGAGGCTGTCAAGTGAGCTTTCAAATTGATCAGCTTTACATGACGCTGAATCTAACAAGGTATCGTTTCCTTCTGAAAGTCCTTCACTCACAACTTCACTGTTTTCAAGCTTATTTTGGATTTCTTCACTGTCACTGAGATTACCTGTCCAGTCAACCATTTCTCTTTCTTGCTCTGTAGATGACAAATTTTCCTGTGTTTCTGTATTCCACTCATTTGCTTCTTTGATAGCAAAACAGCTCTCTGTACATGAAGTTTCAGATAAATGTCTCGTCATAAGCCAATGTCTCACACTTCTTTGTATGATAGTTGCAGCTCTCCGTCTCTTCAAAAATCTCCGCCTTTCTCTAAAACGCTTAAAGGCTGCTTGGATAACTCTCACTGCATTATCCAGTACTGCTTCTTGAAACTTCTCAATGAGTTTGTTACATGCACTGTAGTCTTCTTTGGATTTCAAATGTTCTGTTTCTCCATGAAAGTTTTTATCCTCATTGTAAGAATTAACTAAATGCTCACTGTTTGAACTTACAATTTCTTGTTCATTCACGTCTGAAGCTTCGAAATCACTGTTGTTATGGACATTGGAAGGGAGCTGAGTATCATTTTCCTCCACTTTAATAACATCCTCCCTCGTGTTTTCCCCTTGTTCTGAGATGGGTTGAAGTGCCCTACAAAATTAATACAAAAGCAGAGGATGTATTAGTATCCACTATTTTACAACTGCATCCTTATACATGTACATGCATGTAGCTGCACTGTATAGACTACTATCATCTCACTTTTTTACATTCATTAATTCTGCTCAAGAGATACAGGCAAATCAGGTTGATCTGCCTTATAACTGCTAAAGAGCACGTGAAGGCAGCCACTGCCAGGTTTAGTTTGCTGTGATCCAGAGTGTTCTAACAAAGTACCTGGCGGGTCGTATTATGACAGGACAACAATTTTAGACTTGCTTCAAGACAGGAAACAAGAGGGAAGTGGGAGGGCCCAAAAGCAAACTTTGTACAAATATTTAGCGCACATAACGCATTTTTCAGCAAGTCCAAAAATTTGTCTGGTACAGGGTAAGCACATAGCCTTAATGGAAAGAGCATTTAATTTAATGGAATAAATGCACCAATCTGGTACGGTCAACTATCACTGACTTCTATTGGGAGATACATGTACAGGTTAGATATGGATAATATCATATAGACTTCTTCAGACAACAGGGATAATATATTCATAATAATAGACCTTGTTTAAATGGAGGACTGTCCACACCATGACACCACAGAAAAAAAAAAACAAACAGACAAACACCGCATCATTGCAAAAAGAAGTGGCGAAACACTGACATTGCAATATTACTTTAGAATTTTCGACCAGTGAATTTCGATATGAAAAGTCCTTTAAAATGGCATAACAAATCAGGAAAAAAAATAAAGGACTTTTACTGTAGAAAGTCTAATTTTTGTCCTATGATTAATCTAATCCTAATCCCCATATAATTAAGGAGGGACGATCACAGAGCTGATTAGAGATTAGTAGAGAGTCATGGAGAGTGATACTGACCTCAAGTTATTATTTTGTGAACTCTATTTTCAGTCATGCAGATAGAAAAATGCATGCAATGTCCATGGGACTCAGGAGACAGTCGTGAAAAAAACAAACCTAGATTTTGCCTGTTATCCATTTGCTTTGAATTTTTTTTTGTATAAAAAGACCAAAAAGATCCTCCTTCGCCCCTTCTATAACAAAGCAGTGAAATAGTAGAATCAATTTTACATAACATTCTTGGATGGTGGAACTTGTTTTTGGTCGTTGTCGATCTTTTATTCATTAATTCTGATCATTGTTGATACTTTTGGGTCGTTGTGGATAGTTCAGGTCCTTTTGGCTCGTTTCGCTTGGTTCCTCATAGTAACTACGGTGAAATGATAAACCACAACACCGCAAATTACTTCGTTTCACCAAATGCCATAGGTTTAAAATCAGAAACTCCGCACACTGTAGGGTTTAAGATCCCCACAACACGGGATTTTATTCACTGCAACACCGCACCAAAAAAAAAAAAAGCGACACCGCAAATCCGCATTTCCCCCTCTTTAAACACAAGTCCATGGATATCTAGCAGGGTCATATAGGCATCCCTTAGTGGGGTCAAGCATGCATTTCCTCACAATGTGAAGAACCCAGCAATTAAGTAACATTTAAATGAATACTTTACTCTGAATTTCAACTTGAGCGTTCTAAAAAATATGGGTCACTATGTTTTTTTTGTTTCACAATGAAAAACATGATGTCTGCTGTGTGTCTTCAAGCAAAAAAAATAAATAATGGGAAAAATGGGATTATAGAAGCTTAACAACACTGAAGAAAAGTCAACTGACAGGAAAAACTGATATGAACCAAAAAAAATACCAAGAATCAATAACGGTTGTTTTTCATAATGGTAACAATAATAAGTTCCATAGATGCTGGGCGAAATTTCCAGCCACTCCAAATGACTAAACATACACTGTAGTTAGTGAGTGATTCATTTTTTAAACTACAGTACTGGTATGCAATATTATTTGATGAAGACAAACACTAATTGCTAACTACAGCGCATTCACCACTTGGGCACAATCGATACATGATGTATTGAATTGCAAATCCTATTGTTTCCGATGTGACAAATAACAACACGTGCTTTAAGTCACAACAAAGCTGATTTCACGCGTGGAATGTGTAGTTTCGCGTCTTTTCAGAATTTCGCCCACAATCAAGTCATTGAAAATGAATAGAGTTGCCGAATATTTCAAGGCCAGCAGGTCTAGAAAATTCTTGCCCCACGGAAACGAATTTTGAGGGTAAAAAGTGCCGGTATGCCGGAAAGTCGACAAACACAGCACGAAGTGTTGTTTACAAGGTCATTCAGTAGTTTTAATACACAATCGTAAAAACCCAATTTGAAAGGATTGACACGAATAGGTTAAACCCTGTAAAATCATGAAGCTTATGTTTAAAATAATCTGGTAAACCTATGAGAACATGGAACTCTACATGAATCAAAGACAGTTGTTTAAGTTGTGATTTCATGGTATGGAATGCTATCAAATATGAATGTGTGGTTGCTTGAGTTTAGAAAATTATGAATATGAAATGAATAAATTCACACCAGAATGAAGGAAAAATGTCGCTGGGTTTTTCAAGAAGAGGATAGTGGACATTTGTGGGAAAGTTCAGTTAAAAGAAGGTTAAAAATGCTGTAATTCGCTTTGCGATAAACGCCCATTTTACTTGAATAGGAGGGTTATCACGTATCCACAAAGAGCGCGAAGTTCAACGATTCACCAAGGGAGATGAAGCGAATCGCGCACAAAGTATGAAACTGGCTTTGAAATATATTTTAATTAGCTGGCCGAAAAAAACGTTGGCGGAAAAGCTCGAGATGTTATAACGACAAGCTCGATATTTTACTAACGAAACTGTACTCTCAGAGCAGAAAACCATCTGCGTGCAACATTTAATTTTCGGAAGAAAAGTTTTCTATCGTCATGATAAATAACAAAGAATTTTCTAGAAAATGGAGCCGAAATATCGGTATATTTAAGCAAAACGTCAAGCTCTCATTTATGAGGGTCTTCTGTTATATAACTTATATCAAATATTGCTCAGCGATGTTTGCCCCTGAAATCACCTGGAGATCTCGAGTACTGAGGTACTGATTAGAAGGAATCGATTGCCGCCTCAAGCGATGTAAAATCACTCGTTGTCCAGTGGTTCTCATAAATTTGTGCAGTGTAGAAAACTTAGAGTTCTAATGAAATAGCGACTGTAGAAGCATACCTTGTGAAATACTTCCATCTCCACCTCCAACTGCTTTGTTTTTGACGAAACGTTCGCTTGACAGTGGAAAACATCGCACTTTGCTTCCATCCAGCGTGTTCGATTCAATTTCTTGCGGCCTATCAACATCTTCGAACCGCTTAGAAGTATCATCTACAGAAGTCATTTGCCTTCGCAAGAGCGATGCTAACTACTAAAGAGCACGTGAAGGCAGCCAGGTTTAGTTTGGTGTGATCCAGAGTGTTCTTACGAAGTACCTGGCAGGCCGTATTTATATGACAGGACAACAACTTTAGACTTGATTCGAGACAGGAAACAAGAGAGAAGTGGGAGGGACTAAAAGCGAACTTTGTACGAATATTTTGAAATCATGCCCAAGCCCCTCGCATGCGTATGTGGCCGGTGGAGCTCTGTTGGGAGACTCTTCATTTTTATCTCTTTCACGTTACTTCCACGCACGTTTTCTTACCCTAATAATTGGAAGGTTTTCTTTTAAAATCAATCTGCGAAGAGGGTGGTTCGCACACTGTTCAAATAAGTCAAGAGAAGAGAGCTCACTATAAACTCGCTCTCAGTTCTCTTCATATTTTTTTCAAGATGGCGGCCAACAGACCTCTGACGGAAGCGGTTATGGCGGCATTTGCATTGAGTAAGTTTTCCATTTTTAGATATTATGGTCTTTTATTCTAGACAGTTGTTCGTGAATTGAAAGCTTCCTCTCGTGACAGACCTGACAGTCTTGTAGAGGAATTCGTTCCAAAGTTGGCTTGCGTGCACGCCAGCTAAAAATAATTCAGCACATCATGCATGTACAGTAGAGACGTAAGCTTACCAACCGCACAAGTGTAATTCTTTCATCACCACAGAAGCTTATATATTCTTCGTGATATTGAGGAAGGTGTATACGCCGATGCACGCGAATTTCTATGCTCTGACGCATTTCATTGCGTGAATTTGTATTTTATTTTACTTTGCAATTGGCACAGACTCTGATGTTTGATCTGAGGGACAGTTTTTTTGTATGCGCTAATTGATTTAACTAAAAGCTTAAGCTTATAATTAGTATAAATTGTCGTGAATGAAGATTTTTGAAACATTTCTTGAACTTAAGATGATTTCAGATCATTTCTTCCAGGATATCACTATATACTTTAGAGACTTTTGACCACACTGAAAAACGATTATTTACACTCTCTTATGGGATCTTTCTCCAACAAGATGATCTTTGTATTTAATAAGGAGACATTGATTACATGAATATTCTAATTTTATTCAGTGATGATGACATGACCTAAAATATGGTAAACAAACAGGAGTTGTGAACAATATGCTAAGTTCAAGTTAGTAGTGAAGCTTATTACCCATATCTTTAGGAAGCTTTCCTTGGATCCATCATTTTTTTCAACAAATTATTTTTAATGTATGTTCCTTCTCTACAAGGAGGTAGCCATATGTGATCGTTTTCTGTGGATAAATATTTCCAACTTGTTGCAATATTTGTTTTTATAGTACAGTCTGGGAGATTTCCACTTCTGGATATAGGTATCATGTGTTGTGATTGGTTAAGATCAAAACCAAAACAAAGTAGATTTGGCCGATAGCTACTGGAGATGAGTAGAAGTGAAACAAATTTTTGATTGTAATGTGGCTACAAAATTATGTAACACGAAATCACTGCACAGAAAGATAGCATAAGTAAAATAATTTATTCAGCATATGCTCTTGCATTCTGGAAGAGTGGAGCAAATTCTTTTCAGTACAAATTCATCATATAAACAATGCAATAGTTAATAAACGTCGTGACCCTCGAACCCAAGCCAAAGAAAATGCTTAAGCTGCATCGCATCAGAGATAAATCCTGTAAGAAACAAAATCATTGACAAGAAATAATTAATCGATATTCCTGAAACAGGTCAGCTTCATGACCTCTCAACATGAGACCAACAGCAAAGAAAGAAAATAATCGGAAGAAGCAAAATTTTACATCATGAGGCAAAAGTCGTTTAGGCCTACAGACCCCTTTTTATACCGTGTAAATTTGGATATGACTTGTAGTTCACTACTGGTGAGAATTCAACCAATCGTACAAGAATGCATGACAAAGCAGAGCAGGAAATCATCAAATTCACAGACAAAACAGTTACAAATCCAGAATTGGATATCTCCCAGACTAATAGTAATGTCTCTTTCTAGACCACAGTGCATCCAGGCTTGCCTTGAATGTGTACAATGTACAGTATGAAAATTATACAGTGGAACCTTGATTTATCAAACCTCTATATTTAACGAAGTCCTTGGTATAACAAAAAATTTTCTTCAGCCCAGCCAAAATTACAGTAACATGTTCGGAACAGAACCTCGATTTAACAAAATCCTCATTATAATCAACACAATCCACAAGCACAAACGTAAAATGTACCTCGATATAATGAATAAATGTCAGTATGTGATAAAAGATGAATGCCAAACAGACCAACAAAGATAAAATTTATGTGTACAGTAGTTTTAAGCAGTTTTGTTTGCCTGTTATTGAGTTCCTATAGTGCCGTAGCTACATATAGCTTGGTACTGAAATGTTATTACAGTAATTTTTCAGATCCGGAAATGCTGGGTTTTGTAAATTAATTGTTAACTATACCTCAAAATAAGTAAATTCGTTAATTGAGAGTGTTCGATATAACGAACCCTCCATTTAACGAACAAATTTCCCCAGTCCCTTGGCACTGTTAAATCGGGGTTCGACTGTAATACTTTTCTTTAGCTTAGTGGGTAGAGCATCTGGACGAGTAACCGGAAGGTCATAAGTTATGACTCCTATTTGGAGTTCTTGGATTTTTGATTCAGAGCTGCTTGGCTTGTGTCACTGACTAAAAAATCGTCTTCCTCAATACCTTTCATGCTACACTGTACTCAATACACTTAACAATGTTATTCTATTGAAGGCATGATTGCTTCAAATTTTTTACTCTAGTACATGTTCTTTGGTCAACTTTTGTTCAAGTTATTGTGCTGCCGGTCTCCCAGAGGCCCAACCCTATCTCATACACACTATTCTGTGGTTACACTGCGGTTAAGCGCCTTGGGTAGTTGATTTTTGCAAATTGTAAGAGTGTTTGTAAATTTGTGAGATCACAACCTAGCCCTCTTGTGTACCTTACAAATAATGTACCTCGTGTTCCTTTACTCATTCGCCCCGGAAATTTTGCTGAAAAACGTTAGTCAAGCAGTTTTCTGGTCACTGTCGTGCTATAAAGAGCTAAAACTTACCATAAAGCCATTTATAGCTTGTACACTTTGCGGCCTTCTGATCCAGATGCAAAATGAGCTTGCGAAGTTCAGGCATGCACAGAAAACAAACTTGCGAGATAGTTTTGGTATATATTTTAGAGTTTTTTGTATATTGTATTTTAATGCAGATGTAGATGTCACAGATCCAAATTAAATTCAGGTTACTTTTTTTAACAGTAGGGTGATTCTCAATTTTATTTGTTTCCCAGCCCTAATAAAACGAATTATGAGAGTTAGGAGATCAGATTTTTAAAGGAAATAGAGTTGAATAAACCTTAGCCTGAGAAAACAGTCCACATTTCACAACACCACCGCTGGTTATCCCGCAAAATGATGTGGCATCGTGAAATGTGGGCTGTTTTCTCAGGCTAAATCAACCTAGGTTAAAAAATTTTATCCTGGATTTTCATTTTTGACCTCTAACTGATAGTATTATTGTCAGAGGAACAAATCCGGTATATGTTTCTGTGGTAAAATGTTATTCCTATGATAGCAATAAAAGTCATTGATCTGGGCATGATTTTAAAGAAGTACAGCGGGCATCCACCTCTTATAACGACATCTTCTTGGCATTAGCACCTCTCACCTAGATTAAAAAAAAGTGCCAGGGGTGTTTTTTTCCAGGATTTACAATGTGTAACCCATATAATGCATGAAGGCTTGGTACCAGAGGTTGATCATAATTTTTATTACACTAATGATGTGTATTGTACCTACACTTTAGACACAGAACAAGAGGTATGGCCGGAGAATGTGGAGCTTTATGAGCCATGTAAAGGTAA